ACAGAGTTTATTCTTGTATTATTGTTTGTTATTATATTCATTTCATACAAACAACTGTAAACCTACTTTTGCCCCATCCTGTGTAATATATATGCCTGATATATCTTGTAGTATGTTAAATGAAACAAAGCACAATTATCCCATAATGCCACATTCATGCTGAAATAATTGTTTTCCTGTTGTATTTTTACATTTGAGATTGCCTTGATATATTATAAAATGCATTTAATGATGAAGTGTCTTGTTGAGTTACAAATCCAGTGGCCTTTGAATTTGGAACCTAGAAGTACTATTGCAAGTGGATTCATATACTCTATTTGTAGGGTGTACATATTTTATTTTATTTTTTGTAAATGTTAATACTTTACCAAAAAACAAATGAAAGTCCAGATTTTGTGTTATATGCTTTTCCAAATGAAGTTGATAAAAGTAAATTAGTCTTATTTCTAGTTACGTGAAAGCATTCAGTTGAAGACTGAATAAAATTTTACATATGGAATTTATTGGGAAAAAAACCTATGTCATTCAAGGGTAAATTGTAATTTGGTTTTGGACCATTTTAATAATGAGTGAAAAATCTAATTAGAAATTTTAAGTTTTTAGTTAGTTGATTTTTCTTTTTTTTCTCTCCATTCTTTTTAAGAAGTTAGAATTTTGTATTTGTTGCTGTTTATACTGACTCATACAACTGATGAAGAGCAGTAAGAGAATGAGTCTTTTCCTATATCTGCCTCTCATAATAGTATGTTAGAATGTTTGGGCTCTCTTTTCAAATGTGAGGCATGTTTTTTAATACAGCAAAAGAAAATACGATCTGTAGTCATTCCCATCGGCTATTTAATAATGATCTGGATTTTACAATCAGTGCACTTCTAAGACATGTTTCAAAGAACAAAATTTTACACTGAACCAGTTTTTTACCTTTATTGTCTATTATGACAAATATATTCCTAAGGAATTCTGTCTTTGTTCCCATCCATGTATTTTGAGAGCTTGTCTGGCTGTATCTTAGTGCTTGAATAAGTGCTACATTATGGTTCTTGAGTTTGGCTGCTGTTTCCCAGGGTCAGGTGAAAGTAACCTGTTCTCTTCCAAAACAACTTTGGGGAAGGATTTGTACCGTTTTATCTCACACTGACTGAGAGAAAATGGTCTGTCATATAAAAAACTAGTCTGAGAGTTTGGAAACGTGGTATGACTTTGGGTATTTATTTTAACTTCTCCTGGGCATTGCTTTTCTCCTCAGTAAAATGTTGAGCACGAAGTAGAAGGAATCTAAGATCTCTGCAACTCGAAACGTTCTCCATTAGATAGCCTACTCTTCAAATTAGAGCAGCGATTTTCAACCTTTTTCATCTCATGGCACTTATACTAATTATTAAAATTCAACAACACACCAAAAATATATTTATTGCCTATATGACAAAAATTAAAAAAGGTATAATTTGATTCATCACACTGGGCAGCTCTTGTTGTGTTGGCTGTTGTCATTTTTTTTTTATTTGACAATCTAAGGGAAAAGAGGTCAGTGCCCCTGACTAAATAGTCAGGTATTGCATGTTTTAAAAATTCTTACATACAGCATACTGGTTGAAAATCTCTGAATAAGAAGGACTAAAAATTGTAGTTCCTGAAGTTTTGTAATATCTGTCCATGGGTTTTTGAGAGTCCAACTTGCCTTTTCTCAGAAGATAGGTTGTCAACCAAAGCAGACCACCTTTTTGGTGTGGATTAGACTGACAGAATAGATAATGTTTGATTCACCCTCTCCCTGCCAACCCTTGCTCTTAAAAGTAGACTTCTGCGTGGTAGAGGTGAACTTCAAGAAATGCATTCTTTTAAAAGTTAAACTTTTCTTTTGTTGACTTATAAAGCAAGATACTTTCATAATCCAGTTTATAAAATTTACTATAATAACTATTTGAGGGATCCAAATGTGCAAACTTACTAGTTTAACTTCCTTTTTATTCATAGTGAGCTGTGTGCTTGTCTACTGGGTCTAGAGTCAGTAGGAGAAAAAGAACTTGAAGAAAATGGCATTTTTATATTGTTACTTTGATTAGATCACAAAATTTAGGATCCATAGAGATTCTAACATCTGCTGTTTTTATAGATGAGGAAAGCAAACCCATAGAATAAGTGTTGGGTTCAAGATGAAGTCAGTCTTAGAATTAAGATAACAGCCAGGATTTGGATTATCAATCCATTGTTGCTGCCCTCTCCTCCCCCTCCACCCCCCCTCCTCCCCACACACACTTGAACCTCTATACTTACTATCTTGGATCCTCCGTATATTTTAGTATTCAAAATGAAAGTTTAAAGTTTAAAAAAATGGAGTGTGTTTCACACATTTGTGGTTTCTCTAGTCAAAGTGTTTCTAGTTGTTTTTTTCATTCTAATCAATACTTTTGAGAGGTTATATATCACTTTGACAGATTATAAAGGAGGGCTTCTAATGGAACAGTTGGATATTTTAAAAGTATGGAAATGTTGGGAAAAAACAATTGCATTTTAAAAAATATTTGGGAGAAATATTTAAGAATAGATTTTGAAAAAAATTCCCATTCAGACATATGTTCATTGAAAAGATTCAGTATTCATCATATTCTTTATTTCAATTTTTATTTAAGGAAAAGAATTTAAATGCACATATTCAGGTACACATACACAGTTCTACTTTTGTATGATGTAAAAAGTCAGAACAACTCAGTTTAGTAATCTTTGAGCTTTTGTTTGCTGGTTTTGGAAGTCTTTACCATGAAATCTGCTATTGCTTTGAATGTCTGTCCTCTCTCTAAAAAGAGAGAGAGAGGGAGAAAGAAATATCCTGCTCCTGTTAGCAAAAAGACAATATGTGAATATTTTTTAGGGGTGAAAGAGATTCTCTTTTATATTGTTTTAGTTTAATTGAATCATTTACCTTAAATGAAATTTTAGCTTCCCTTATCTACTGAGTCAATTCTTCAAAGATTATTCATTTTTTAAATTTAAGTATACTTGGTATACAATGTTCAGGTGTACAATGTAGTGATTCAACAGTAAGTCTTGTAATCATCTGTCACCATACAAACTTAAACTTATCACAGTATTATTGACTATATTTCCCTTGACCTTTTTCATCCATCCCCCTACCCTGTTCCCCTCTGGTAACCATCAGTTTGATCTGTTTTTGTTTTTTTAAATTAATTTATTTATTTTAGAGAGAGAGAGAGAGAGAAAGAGGGAGGAGAGAAATTGATTTGTTCCACCTATTTATACATTCATTCATTGATTCTTGTATGTGCCCTGACTGGGGATTGAACCTGCATCCTTGGTATATCAAGACGACACTCTAACCAACTGAGCTACCTTTACAGGGTCTCCATCTCTGTTTCTATGAGTCTGTTTTTATTTGTTCTTTTGTGTATTTTTTTTTAGATTCCACATGTAAGTTAAACTGTATGGTATTTGTATTTTTCTGTCTGACTTATTTCATTTAGCATAGTAATACTCTTTAGGTCCGCCATATTGTTACAAATGTTAAGATTTCAAATATATCTCACATCTTCTTTATCCATCTGTCGATGGAAACCCAAGTTGCTTCCATATCTTGGCTATTGTAAATAATGCTGCAATGAATATGGAGGTGCATATGACTTTTTGTATTAGTGTTTTTGTTTTCATGGGATAAATATCCAGAAGTGGAATTGCTGGGTTGTACGGTAGATCTATTTTTAGTTTTCTTGAGGAATCTCCATACAGTTTTCCATAGTGGCCATGCTAATTTGCATTCACACCAACAGCATGCAAGGGTTCCCTTTCCTCCACGGCCTCACCAACATGTTATGTTTTGCACTTTTGATGATAGCCATTCTGATTGATGTGAGGTGGTATCTCATTGTGGTTTTGATTTGCGTTTCCCTTATAATTAGTGATGTTGAGCATCTTTTCATGAGACAACTGTTTATTTTTAATATGAGGAAGGGAACGTTTTTAAATGCAAAAGTACAAAGGGTAAAATTACATTGCATCTGGCATATAGAATATGTATTCCAGATGCTGAGACAGAGGAGGCATTTCTCTTGATTTCTTTTAGAGAGGGGGTGTAGCTGGGGGCAGCTGGCATTCAGTTTTATATAATACGGATCTCTCCTTGTGGGGAGAATAAACACTATAATTGGAGCAGACTTGTTCTCTTCCTTACACAGACCCCACTCACTTTATTGAGATGCCTGCTTATCATAGTGTGTTAGAACCAAACCCGCATTCCCTCCAACATATACCTGTACTTGATGTGAGTCCTTAACCTTCTGAAGGCTCATTTCTTAGAGAGAAAGGGTGGGGGAAAGGTGATAAAAATTAACTGTCTCAAAGAACTTTGTGAGGTTCAGATTTGGTGATATAATTGGAAGTGCTTTGTAAACTGTCAGATGTTAAGCAAATGTAGTGTGGTTTTATTATTTTTAGCAACAGTAAATTGCCACAAATGTTAATTAGAACTCATTAGGGCTCATTAGGGAAGATGGGATATACTGGCAGACTGTCCACTTTCACTCATTCATTCATGATTCCTTTATCCAGTAATTACTGTGAATAGCTTTTGGTTTAAAGGTGACTAACTTGAATTTTCTAGGATCCCTTGAAATACTTACAGATTTGAGGGCAAGTTTGTGGGAACCAACAAGCAAGATAGCTTTGTATTTACAATACAAAGGTGGAAAGTGTCCTAATAGAGGTACACTGTTCACAGATTTCTGTAAAGCAGAGAGGGGTCTGACTCCACTGTGTGAATCTCCAGGAGGCCCTTGAACTAAGTCTTGAAGAACCAAAAGGGGTAATCAGAAGGAGTAGGCTGTTGCCGTAATTCTGGCAGCTGAATTGTTTGAGGAGCAACCCTAAATTAGTAGTTCAAAATCTAGTGAGACTGAGTTTAGGATTACTAATTCCAGTTTAATGCTTTTAGATTCAATAGGTACCTTCTGTCTAGGCATGTAGGCCTTTTTATCCCCTTGAATCTTTGGGCTCCATTTGGTGGTGTGGTTTGTGGGGGTCTAAGTTCTAGGTAAGCAAATGATAATTTTGCTTCTTTGAAAAGAAAATGCAAGTGTTCATATGCGCCAGGTCGCCTGGATCCTGGCAGGGGGGCCTACAGTCCAATTGAAAGACATTCTCTTATATCATTTTTTAAGACCTGTGAGAGTTTTGATTTCCTTGGATAAAGGAGATTTAAGGAAAAGACTGTGTTCATCTTCTGGAGGCAGGTACTTGCTGGGGTCCAGCCCCAACGGGTCCAGGGGTCCCCAAAGGTGAGGACGGAGTCGGCGAAGAAGGAATGACACGGAGACAGCGTTCAGTTGATCAGCATAGTTGGGTTTTCCAGCCAGGTTCTGTTGATCAGCATAGAGAGGTTCTCCAGCCAGGTTCAGTGGCCATGTTCCCTCGCTAGGTTCTCCAGCCAGGTTCTCCAGGTTCTCCAGCCAGGTTCTGTAGCCACGTTCCCTCGCTAGGTTCTCCAGCCAGGTTCGGTCGCCAGGTTCTAGTCAGGTTCTCTTGCCATGTTCTATCCAGGTTTCGTAGCCAGGTTCTGTCT